GGTCTGCTTCAGCCTGAAGTGCTCATCCCCTGGGCTCAGGGAGCAGTGCACACGCCCGTTGTTCCCTGAGTCAGGGTCACTGGCTGTCACCAGAGCCACAAAGCTGTCTTTGGGGACAGCCTCGGACAGCACGGGTTCCCATGCCGCCCAGGTGACACGGACATCAGGAGCATTATCATTGACATCCAGCACCCGGACCACCACCTTGCAGTGTGCTGGGATGGGGTTGGCGCCCAGGTCCCTGGCCTGCACATCCAGCTCATAGGCATGGGTCTCCTCGTAGTCCAGTGGGCGTCTCAGGACCAAGCTGCCCATGCGGGCATCAATGCCAAAGGTGCTCAGCACCTCTGGAGGTGCATGCTTACTGAGGCTGTACTCAATCTCCCCATTGGGCCCCTGGTCGGGATCGGTGGCCGTGACCGTCAGCAGCAGCGTCCCAGGCAGAGCATCCTCCCGAACCTCAACCACTAGGGAGCTCTCTGCAAAAATGGGGCTGTTGTCATTAGAATCAAGGACAATTACTTTGATTAAAGCAGTACCTGACCGAGGAGGCTCCCCGTGGTCGGCAGCTGTCAGCACCAGGTCGAAGGAGGAGTGCAGCTCCCGGTCTACTTCTTTAATCACGACGAGCTCGGCGTGCTTCGTGCCGTCAGAGCCGGAGACAACTTCCAGTGCAAAGTGCTCGCTGGGGGACAGCGCGTAGGAGCAGCGCGCGTTAGGGCCAGTGTCGGCATCCAGCGCTCTGTCCAGCGGGATGTGCATCTGCGGCGACGCACTCTCTGATATCTCCAGCTCCAGCTCAGGCGTGGGGAAGCGGGGCGCGTGGTCATTGATGTCCAGAACTTGGACCTCCACGTGGATCAGAGCCATCTGCTCAGCTGCCAGCACGTCGAAGGACACCCAGCATGGATCACTGTGCCGGCACAGCTGCTCCCTGTCCACGCGCCCGGCCGTGCTCAGCTCGCCATCCCCGCTCCCCACGCGCAGAGGAAACATCCAAGGGCTCTGCAGCAGACGAAAGTTTTCCCCCATTTCACCGCTTTCACCGTGCTCAAAATGCTCAGCCAATGTCCCTATCACGGTGCCCTCCGGCACCTCCTCAAACAGGCGGTACTGCACCGTGATGGTGGCCACCTCCTGTGCATCAGCGGAGAGGAAGAAGAGCCACCAGAGGGCCCGGAGCTGTAGGGCCAAGTGACCCAGCAGCAGCAGCCCGCTGAGGATGCCCATTGCCCAGCTGTGGGCTGTGGCTGTGGGCTCACCAGCCTGCCTCTGCATCCTGCACAGACCTCAGGGTGAACGCCAAGGCACCATGTCTTCACTTGTTGCCCATTGCCACTCACCAGTTGGGAAGGAGAAGAAAGAGCGAGGGGTTCTGGAGGCTGTCCCCTGCCTTGCCATCGCCCCAGGATGGGAGGCTGAGCATCCTGGGCTGGAGCATCCCAACAAGGAGCAGTGGGGTCGGCCGCCACTGCAGCCAGGAGTGGTGTCTGGCGGTGGGAGGTGGATCAGCTGAGCTTCCTATGGAAACTCCACCTACAGGAAAAGGGAGGCCCGGCTCGGCACAATGCCGGCGGGGTGGGGGCTCATGGATCAGCAGGCTGTGGGGTCTATGAAGTACAGAAGTTCTTGTCTCCAGCCTGCGGGGACTGTCATTGTGCTCACCTGCAAAATGCATTTGATAGAGATGGTGCTGGTCCTGGATCCAACAGCAAACCTACACACATTCTCATCATCCCAAATTGGGATCCTGCTCTTTGCCTGTGGAGGAATACATGCTTGGGGAAGTTCTCTGCAAAGCCCAGAGGTGACAATGGGCATCTGTTCCTGCATCACCTGAGGGGCTCCTTCCCCACACTGTTGTCTTTCTGACTTGCTCTCATTTGTTCTAATTTGTCCAAATCCAGCTGTAACCCTCACTCCTCTGCTTTTTTCTGTTGATTTTGAGGGTAATGTGTCCACATCTTTCACCACATGGCTTTTGAGTGAATCAGTGTTTGATCTTCCCCTGAGCGCTCCAGGAAGACTTCTGGCAATGCATGAAACTCACTGCAGTGTACAGACTGGTGCAGTTCAGCCATGGCACCGGGACTCATGATGCTGGGCTCAACCCCGTATCCAGATGACCTTGGCCGAGTCATTTCCCTTCTTTGTGCAGTGGCTTCCTCTATGGCCGAGGGAGGCAAAGTCACAGACTGCCGGCAGAGATGCTCTCAGGATGCCCACGGTGGGAGGAGAGGATGTTCCACAGCCCCGGGTGGCTTTGGGTGGTGGGGAGGGATAGAGCTGCTTCCTGCTGGGGTCAGCATGGCCTCAGGAGCTGCTGTGTGTTGTGGTGTGGCAAGCAAAGTGACGCAAACAAGTGCAGAGAAGGTGGGTGGGTGATGAGCTGGGATGTGCCAGGAGCACCGCCAGTAATGTAAGATTCAGTGCTCAAAATGAATGAGGTCCCCTCCCGCTCTTGCTTCCTGTTCACTCACAGGCAGGCTTCCAGCTTGCAGGTGCTCCAGGACCTTCACAGCCAACTTGCAGCTCCAGACTTCCCCTGGGTGGCTGCAACTCACACCCTCCACAGACAGCTCAGGATAAGCACCTGCTCTGCTCAGCTGTTGCATTGATCTTCAGCCACCCACGATGCTGCTCATGCCTGAAGGGGATGCAGAAGGCATTCACTGGTGTGAGAGCCTGGCTGCTTGAAGCTCCACCACGGGGACACCCCACCAGCCCAGAGCTGCACATCACCAGGCAGACCCAGCCTGGACACACTGGATCAATCTCTGCCGAGGCTTTCCAATTTCATGTGTTATTTGGGGCTGAAATCTCCCAGCAGCTCCACAGAGAGCTCAAAAGATGGATTTTCCCCAGGACTGAGCTGTAGGCGGCTTTGGTCAGGTTTGGATACAGGCTGCAGGAGGGTCCTCACTGCTCCGGTACAGTGGAAGGGGAGTGTGTCACACCAGAGAGCATTGCTCTCATGATTACCATAAGGAGGAAAATGTGAAAGGAAAAGAATTGTTTCAAGTCTATGAAAATTAACATCAGAAGTGAAGAGTTCAAAAGTAACATCAGTGAGAGGAGTAGAGAACGGACATGCATGAAGAGGTCCCCAGATCTGTCCTCACTGAGATGATCAAAGCCTCATCCCACATCCGTGCGCAAATCAGGAGCTGTTTGTTCCCCTCCCTGCTCCACAGAGGGATGCAGTGCCAGAGACCCAGAGGGATGAGCCTTAGGAGGGGTTGCAGGCACTCAGTCCCATGCTGGGTGCTGCCCAGGCAGGCGACTGTGGGTGGAGATGGGGTGAGCAGAAGGGTGGCTGCTCCCCATCAGCCAGCTCCATCACACCACCAATCATGATTTGGGGCTTCACTGTCCCTGTTTCCACCCCTTTGGAAGGGATGCCTGTAGCTGAATGCCTCAAGCTGGAAGGGACCCACAAGGATCAGAGTCCAACCCCTGGCTTCACACACCAGCATCCAACCCAAACCCTACAGCTGAGAGCGCTGTGCCTGCCCCAGATGAGTTCCCCTGCCCCAGAAGCAGGGGCCACCCCCCCTCCCCATAACCTCCTTTCAGGCTGCTGGGCTGGTCGGGGACCTGAGCACAGAGCAAACAGGGGAGAGTGAGCCCCACGAAGCCGGTTTTGTTGGCTTGATTTGGACAGCTTGACACACCTGAGCAATGGCAATGAGTTTGGAAGAGGTGGGGTTTTCCAGCTCCTCCCGCACAAGTGATAGATGTGGGCCAAAGCACAAAGCCCTGAGTGGCTGCAGATTGATGAGCGTAGTAATAATTGCCCGTTTTATCTTTCTCCTTAATATGCACGTGGTTTTTAATCTCATCTTTGCAAACACGGCATCTCGGTGCCGAAGTTGTCCTTTAGGGGGAGCTGCGACCAAAGCTCCCGTTGTTCTCCGTTAAAGCATCTGTCAAAACCGACCCCAGCTTCGAGCCCGCAGAGCCCGGACATTGCGATGGCCCTGCGTGGGTGATCCCACTCCTCACGTGGCATAAACCAGAAAGGTTTTACAAAGCTCATCCGCTCGCTGCTCACCTGTGCTGCAGATGACCACTGCGACCACCTCAACCTACAGGCATCACATAAAGAGCTGCCATTGGAAGGCTGCGAGCTCTTCAGGGCTTGTTAATTTCAGATGTGTTGAGTTACAAACAACTCTGTGCTGCCATTCTTTGGATTTGTGCTTGGACTAAACGATTCTTTCCAACCCTAATGATTATGTGATTCTGGAGAAGGGACTCTCAGAGGGTTCCAGCCCAAACAGCACACCTTATCTGCATAGGGGAGCTGGAAACACTGTCACCTCTGGGAAAATCAGAAGAAAATCGGAAGAGAAAACAAACAACAAAAATATAAATTACATTTATTATGAACACCAGCATTTTCCAACAAGTCCAACCACTACTTCGCTTTAAAGTAAAACAAGCTGGAAACGTGTGAGCTGAAGGGAGCCAGAGCATCAGCAGGGTCAGAAACATCCAGCACCTGGAGGAATGGGAAGAAGCCCCAGTTTGTTGTCCCATCCCCATCACTGCACACATCACAGTGCAGGCAGCAGGAGGATGGCATTCAGCTCTGCAGCAGGGGGAAGCGGGCCGTGGCACGGAGCAAAAATGGGACAGGTGGCTTTTCTGTGCCACGCAAACAAAATAACGAGGACACTGTATGTGAAAACATCCCTAATCCATAAAGCAATTCCAAATGATGCAACTTCCAGCTTGTGCCAAGGGGCCGAGCGTTCACTCGACACTCCCCAGATGGAGAGAAGACTGAGGCAGCTCTCCTGGGTGCTCCCAGGCAGCGTGGGTGAAAGCAGGGCGAGAAAAACCAGAAGGGATGCTGATGCCGTCCCACGCAGGCTGACCCACTCCCAGCTCTGGCTCAGGGCAATCAGACACCAATGTCATCGCCTGGCCGGCACCACGCACTGCCTGGTGATAGCGGCCTGGATGTCAGGGCTGACGGGTCACTGCAGTGACACAGCTTCCTAGTGAGGCCACCTGGAGCCAGATACAACCCCAGTGTGCAGGAACCAGCTAGCCTTGGGCTGAGCCAACAGCGCAGTCACTGTTTTTCCCTTGGGTCCTGCCCAAACCTTGTTACAGATACGTGACCTCGATGACGTTGGGTTCGATGCTCCCACAGGGCAGGTGGTGCTTGCAGGAGCACTGGCAGCTCAGGTTGCCACCCGGCTCCCACTGCCCAGGCTGAGGGGGCTTCTTCTGGGAGCCCAGCTTCCTCCAGTCCATGAGGTGCACCCCGTCATCCAGGTCCTGCGGCATGGGCTCATGGTAAAGGGTGATCTGGATGGTGCGGAGCTGCGGGCCGTAGTGCACCACGACAATGATGAAGATGGCCAGGAGGACAAAGATGACGACGATGGCTGAGATGACGGGCAGGGCATCAGACTTCTTTGTCATGCTCCTGACCACAGAGATGGGAGTGAAGGCAGCTGCATCCTGGGGCTCAGGGTGCCTCAGCGGGCTGCCGGGTGCTGAGGCGTTCATGGCTGAGCAAGGTGACCTGGGACAGAGGGTGGAAAGTGTTACTGTCAGACAGGGGCTGTCTGGTGTCCTCATCTCCTGCCCTCAGCTCCGTAGCTCCTGCCTGTAGCTTCACATGCAGCTCCCCAGGCATGGAATCTTGGAAGAAGGCACTGGATGCCTTTTGTTTTGGAGTGCAGGGAAAAGATTCAGCCTGAGATAAGGACTCTGGGCACCGAGCAAGCCCCATGGAGCAACATGCAACTCCAGCCTGGATATGGTCAGGATAAGTGCTCATCCCAACCACGTGTCCTGCAGAAAGGCAGCAGCCTGTCACACAGCCCTGCACAGTGAGCAGTGGCACCCAGGAGCTTTATCCAGACCAAACATGAGCAAAACCTTCACTTGGCTGCCCAGTGTGACCAGGCGAGTGCTTTTTGCTGGCAGAAACCTGGCCCCAGTGGAACAGGGCTGTCCCTGGATGTTCCCCCCCCCCCCAAGCTCACAGGACAGAGTAAATTTTGGTGCTGACATCTGCGTTGTAGGGGCGGTGACCATCCAGCCAGGTGGTCAGCAGAGAACAGTGGGAAGACACCGCCCTGCATCTCCTTATCCCAGGCACCTTCAGTGGGGGTCTCCTCTCCCCACTGCCTCCGCTGATGGAGACTCCTAAAGGGGGAGACTCCACCGCTCCCTCTTCCCCCATCCCCAGAGCCAACACCAGACCAAACCCCGTGGGAGGCCCAACCCTACCAAAGTATTTGCGGGTCAGGCAGGGCAGAAAGCTGGGAGCGGGGAGCAGCGGGAAGAAAAGGGGAAAGCGAGGAGAGAAAGCCCGCCCCAGGGTACCTGGGCGTCCTGCTCCGGGGGAAGCATCACCTCCAGCGGGACAGGGCAGCAGAGCAGCTGCAGGAAGGTGCTGCGGGGCGGCCGGGCTCACCTCAAGCTGCCACGTCACGCCCGGGGCTCCCCGCGCAGGAGGAAGCGCCTGCTCATCCCACAGCGAGAGGTGCTGCCCTACCTAAGGCAGTGCCACATCAGCACGCCCGGCTGCCATGTGCGGGGACACCGCAGCACCCTCCGCCGGCCCCGCCGCGCTGCCGCCTGTCAGACAAGCGGCTTTTGTTCGGGGAGAGAGCCCTCGGTGCGCACAGCCTGCAGTCTGCAACCGCAGGAAGCCCCCCTCCTTTCCCTGACTTGGATTGAAACGTTGTTGCGTTTAGAAATTAGCGTAAAAATCGCTCTTTGCGCAAGCTCTTTGCTCAATTCGACTAAAGGTGTCTCCGCTACTCCCCGAGCTGCGAGGATCCTCGCCTTCAGATCAGGCAGCCCCGAGACTGAGCGCTCCTGCAGCAGGACCGATGCGGCGAGCAGAGCGCCGTGCGCCGCGGATGGATGGAGCGCACACGGCCAGCTTCCCGTTCGCCTTAGGGCAGCCGAGGAGCCCTCGCTGCTGCGCACAAAAAGCTGCTGCTCGGCCATGAGCACTTCACAGCACAGCTGCTGCTAGCTGTAAACAGGGCGTGCAGAGATCTTAAGGTCCAGCACCTCAGAAATACCACACACTGTCTGTGAGCACTCCTGGGATGCAGGGTCACAAACAGCTCTGCAGACCCAGGGCTGCTCAGGGCAATGCAGGGCCAAGGCAGTGCCTGCATGTCCCTCCCTTTGCACCGTGGCTGTGGGCACTGCCCGGCACCAATCACCTCCGTGCAGGTGGGTGCTGTTCCCAGGGCGGTCAGATCTCACACCAGCAGTGACCTCAGCACATCACCATGCAGAAAAGATGGATCTTACAGAGCTTTGGCACTCAGGGTCATGGTTTAGTGGCCATGGTGGAGGTGGGCTACCAATTGGATTTGGCATCCTGGAGGTCTCTTCCAGCTGTAATGAGTCTATGATTTGTTTTTGCAAAGCCCTTATGAAACACCTCCCAACGCTCCCGTCCCAGAACAGAACTGTCCTACCTGCTCCTGCCTCTTAGCACACCGTCCTGGAATATTTGTGCTCCATCCTTCCTGTGCACTGCAGGGTGGGTGATGCCCCGTCCCCCACACAGCCCAGCAAGCTTCCAGTAGTGATCTGGCTGCACATCAGAGCTGCTGCTTCTGGGAATTTGCACTCATCTCAGGATTCAGTAAAACCTTAATCTACAGCATAATCTCTGAGCATCACATCTGTGCAAGAGGAAAAAAAAATAAGGGTTGTGGGGGGAGGCTGCTCACAGAGGTTTTGTAAAAGCAAAGCTTTGGGCCTGATGGCTTACTGGTGTGCGTTGAGCCCCATGTGGTTTGTGGGGTACCTGCACCCACCTCATGGCTGCAGAAAGCAGGGCCCTGTGAGCAGCACCAGGACCTCCCAGTGCCTTCTGTGCAGTGACACACAGTGAAGGAGCAGCCCTGACACCCACAGCTGGGGCTCTGGAGCATTCCAGGGCTGCAGGAGGGGCTGGATGCGGCCCCTGGAGACAGGGAAGAGCTGTGACAAATGGCTCAGGGCAGGAGGTGCAAAATTTCCACTCCCCCAAACGCCTGTCCCCAGCGTCCAGCCTCTCCTGGGCTGCCAAAAGAACAGCCCCATTTTTCCTAAGTAGGGCACTTTGTAAGGCAGCAAAAGGCTTTTCACCTTGCCGGAGCACGGCCTTGCAAGGGTCCTAGGCTGGGAGAAGCAGCCCCTGCCAGCAGCCATCTGGGAATGGGATGGATTGCTGCCAGCCTGACCCATCAGCCCAGATGGGACCATCCTCCCATTAAGGAACCAGGTTAGGGGAGGCTGAAGCCTGCTTTGTGCTGTCCATGCTGCTGCTGCCCAAACAACCACATCCCACAGCCAGCACGTCCCAGTGCCCAGCCCTGCTGGAGCTGCACAGGGAGGAACAGGACATGGGCACAGCACAAGGCAGCTCCAGCTGTGAGATTCTCTGCCCCACTCCAAATCTCTCTCAGGGATTCTAAGAAGTCCCCTCTCAGGTGGAGGGCAGGAGCAGCTCCCATGGCCCAGTGCAACTCTAATGACTGATGAGGAGCAGAACCAGACCTGCGGCACCTGCGGTATGCCAAACACATCTCCAAAAAGCAGTACCATCCAGAAGCTACCAAGGCCCAAATCCAGGCAGGCCATTATGCCTCTGTTCTCCCCCTCTATGAGAAGCAAATTCCCCAACAAATCAATGGCGAGGTTTCCTTTGCCGTCGGTAAGCGATGTCTCATATCCTCTTTGACCATAATGGACTAAAAAACACAGTTCCCCTGTGGATTCAGCTCGTTTCCTTCTATTCTTTAACAGGAAGCTCTGCAAGAATCAGCCCAGGCAGGCAGACCTCTCCTCACCCTCTCACACTCGGGATGGACAGAACCTCTGCAGGGCTGCTCAGCTCCACGCCGCGATGCTGGCTCCAGCCCTCCATCCGCTCCTGTGGCTGTTTGGCTGCGTGCTGCTCAGAGGTAAGGAGCAATGGGGCAAGGGCAGGGGGCAGCTGTGGGGAGCCCAGCTGTGGGCACTGAAGGGAAGCAGCCAGAGGAGGAGCGGCTGCCAGCAGGGAGCTCAGACTTTACGTTCAGGGTGCTGGGATCAACCCGGCCCCAGCAGGTTTTGCAGGCTTTATTTGACCGTGCTGAAATCACAGAACCTGTTTCCTGGTTAAGGAAAGGATTGTTTCTGTTAGTGATACAGAGGTGTTCTATAGCAAGTGACTGTTGTCAACTGAGGATGAAGGTGGAACTTTTAAACTTATGGGACGTTTTCCTCACCTTTATTTTCTCCTCTTGCTGATGTAAACACAAAGAGCACGTGGCACTAAGACTCCTGCAGTACATTATTGCCATAACTCTGCTTCTGACTTCCCTGTCGCCCTCTGCTCGCAGTATGGGATGCAGTGAGGATACCCAAGGATCCAGGCTCCTGCTGAAGTGTGACAGGTCGCTGTCCTGCAGTCAGTGACAGCTGTAGCAGCTTTCAGCTTAAAGGCAGTCAGAGGAATGGATGCTGCAGTATCACTGCTGCTTCTATTAGTCAGCCACCTGAACTAGTATCACGCGTCTTGGATCCAAAGCTTTTATCAGTAAGCCATGGAAGATGTCCATGGGTTGCAGCCCCTGCATTGGTAGAAACAGGATTTTTAAAGGACAGGGACTATAAAGACAATTCAGCTGCTTGCTGTGCAATTCTCAGAAAGAAGAGCACATTGATTAGAAAATGTCTCTTAATTAGAGGGCAACACAGCTGGTTTCAGCAGAGGGGTGAAGTGTGCCGGACAAGGAACTCTGAGGCCCTTTGACTCTGCTGCTACACTTCTTAATACCTGGCCAGGATGCTTTTTTTCTCCTTGAAAATATTAGTTATGGCATGCACAGGACAGAAATGTCCTGCAGGTTGCCAGCACTCGCTCTGACCAGCTGCGTTACCCCAGGACCCAAACCCTGCAGTGCACCAAACCTTCAGCTGATGGCACCACCCAAAGGATTCACTTCTCAGGTTGACCCCAGCACTGTAGGATTGGATGGAAGGGTCACCTCTGTCCCCTGGTCCCAAGCACATCACTTGGGAACTCTGTCCTCTGCATTCTGCTTCAGATGATGGAGCAGGGGCTGCTCTCACTGCCAGCACCTGCAAACCATGACAGCACTGCTGTGCTGCACTTGCACCCCTCTGGCTTCAGGTAGAACCAGCTTTCAACATCATCTCGTGCTTTGCCTCTGATCTTTGCACGACCACTGATACAGCAGCTCAGAACTGTCATAATTTTCACTTCACTTTTGGTGCTACGGAAAAGTCATCAACACGGCCTGGTACTTGAGGGGCAGCTGCTGCAAAAGGCGAAGCAGCAGGCTCAGAGCAAGGGGCACAGGTTGGTCAGCAATGCTGCTCCCAAAACATGGGCTGCTGAAGGGAATGAAGGGCTCTTAAATGAGACAAGGCAGCTCGGAGGTCTCCATGCACCTGAGGAGGTGGAAATTACATTTTGGAGGTCCAAAGTTGGTCAGAGTAGCCGTAAACTTGCAACTGCCCCCACGCAGGCCTTGGGTACCTTCTGCAAGTTCTTTCATTCGTTAAAGCTTGGTTACAGTTATTTCTAAAAGAAGGTTCAACTTCTGTTACTGTGGAATTTCTCATGTGGGAAGTTGTGGAACTCTTCCAACCTATTTTTCGTCCCCAAGAAATGCTTAATGAAAACGTATCCAAACACACCTCTTCCTATGAGCAGTTTCCATTACGACCAGCAGGCACTTCCCAGACAAAAGCTTTCCACTGGAAAACTCCTTCTGCAAGCTGAGGAGAACCCAGCAGCATTTCCCCACTGACTGCTGCTCCCCTTACCTGCACTGCAGCCAGTGAGCGAATGGATAATGCCACAGTGAAGGTGCCACAGACATGATCCAAACCACAGGATGCAGCTAAAGGGCAGACATCCAGCTAGCAGGAGATCTCCCAGACAGGACTTCCATCCTAACAAGTATCGAGGGCACTCTACAATTGAGTCTTACTGCTTGTGCTGTCTTGTTCCTCAGGCAATGAGAACAGAACTCGAGTTTTATGTTCTCCAATGGTCGTGAGATCACGTAACAGAAGAGACTTGTGCAGCACCACTCGCACCAAATTAGGATGTTCTTAAAATGCATTTGCCAAAATGTCTTTTATGCTTGCTGCCACGCTAGGGAATGCATCTTGTTCAGATCCTGCTTCTTTCAGCAGTGGCAGAACGCCCCTGTGTCTTTGCAGAGTGATATTTTCACTGCTGATCTCTGCCCACAGCAGGTGACACCCAGTGTTATCCCCAAGATCCCTTCCTGACTCTTCTTGGCCAAAAAAGGCAGGTCAGCACAGCCCTGTCTGGTGTACCAGGAGGAGAAACCAGGAGTGGTTTGAAGTGTTTGTTCAGAAAACAAACTGCTCCCCTCTGGTAAGGTGAAACTCTGCCGATGACACTGCAGAAATGATAGAAGTGCCTGGGGATCGTTTCCAGCAATTATGTTTCCTTACAATAGGTGAGTCAGCAGCAGGTGTCCTTGCAGGAGGCGCTGCTGGTAACCCAAAGGCAAGAATGTTCCTGCTGGGAAAACACACACATGGGCTTGAGCCCAGGCTGGAGAAGGGAGATCAGTGCCTCACGCAGCACAAGTACTGCCAAGCCCTGGCTAGAAGGTCTCCTTATTCCACATCCCAGATGGGCCCACTCAGCGTGATCCAATCAGTCTTTTTTGTAGACTTATGGGCTGGGGGCTGTTTTACATCTCAGCTGAACTGTTTCAGGAAGAGGGAGGAGCAAAGCCCCCTCTACCATCTCAGACTGCAGAGCTCTTTGGGGGGCAAAGCACTGGAACAGGCCGCCCAGAGAGCTGGTGGGGTCCCCTTTCCTGGAGATATTCAAGACCCATCTGGACACCTTCCTGTGCAAGCAGCTTTAAGGAACCTGCTTTAGTAAGGGGTTGGACTCAGTGATGTCCAGAGGTCCCTTCCGACCCCTGTGATCCTGTAATTCTGTGACATAGAAATGTGGAGTGCGTCCACCTGCTCTCCAGGAGAAGCCCTCCACTGCTGGGACAGCAACCAGCAGTTCTCAGTGGGGGAGGAAATGCTTTCTCACCATCAGGCATTGCTGCAAATCACACACCTATCTATGGGCAGCACAGCTCTGGGCAAGCAGCTCCAGGCAAACAGATCCATACACTCACATTGCCCAGATGCGACTCTGGAGTTGCAAAAAACTTTGGAGTCAGAGCAATCAGAAGTCAGGGAGCAGCATGGCATAGTGACAATGCAGTGGATGGGGACCAAGGACCACTGTGTGTTGTGCCTGCCACTTAACAAGTGGTATAACACTTCTGTGCCTTGTTTTCCCCAGATATGAGATAAGGATAATAAAAAGACTTCCTCCAAGGAGTGCTTTGGAATCTAGGAATAAAACATAGGTGACATGAGAGTCACTCACCTAAAATTTGAAGCCAAATGAAGTTTGTCAGGTCAAGAAGCTTTGCTTGCCTCTTCTACAAGACATAGTGTCTCAGGGAGCAGCAGGGAGGTACCTCCCCAGCACTGATGCAGAGAAAATGAATGCATCTGAGCAGGGCAGGCTTCACCCGTCCTTCAGCCACTCCCCTGAGGTTGAAAGCAGGTGATCTGAGAAGAGAAAGCAAAAAGAATGAGGATTAGGAAAGCTCCCCAGCCCCTGACACACCTCACCTCCTAGCTCACAAGGTGGGAACTGAACCCATCCAGCAGATCCTATTCCTGCGTGGTGCTCCACAAACACAGCTGTTAGCAGCAGCACCCCACTCTGCCAGTGTGAACGTGGGGGAAATCTTGGAAAGAGAAAACTGGGGAATAAACTGTGGCATAGAGCCTCCATGGATGGAGGGCAGTGAGATATGCCTGATAGGTACCAGCCCTGATCCATCACGTTGGCTGTGCTGCTGCAGGGGGTGGTGATTTGTGTGCTCTGCTGATAGCTGCCCAGAGGTACAGCACAGGAGCAAATTCAGCAGCTGATCTCCTGCACCAGCTGGAACACACGACATTTGGTTAGGAACTAAATCCTACAAAATAATGAGGACCACCTGCAAGGCGACCTGTACATCAGCAGGGCCTTGGCTGAGAGCCTAATTAAGGTGTGAAAGCAGCAGTGCTAAACCAGCCTGCAACTCGCAGTGCTTTTCTGCACCCTGCTTTCCCCATCTACACAAAAGCAGCATTCTGAAACAAAGAGGTTGTAGAGAAAGCAGAAAGCAGCTGGGAGGGCTGCAGCACAGTGTCCTGTTGGGAGCAGCTTTACTTCCCAGTCCCTGCAGAGAAGTGCCCAGAGGGGTGCAGAGAGCACAGGCCAGGAAAAAAAGGCATGCTGTGTGTGTACACAGTGATGTTACAGGGCCCATTCTGTGCCCTGTGGTTTCCCCACGTTGTTTCTCTTCTGGCTTGTTTTCTAAATTCAAGTGGTTTTTAATTGCCTACTACAAGAAGCCTGACCTGCTCACAGCAACTCACTGGAGAGGATCACAGAGGAGGATGCTTGCAGAGGATGCTCATCACAGGGTGCAGACCTGGGGGAGGGGCAGAGGAAGGCTGGGATGGTTCTGAATCCCTAACGAGGTCCAGATTTAATTCCTGCCTTCCTGCCTCTCTAAACTTTCCGTAACACTTTGACCAAGTCATTACCATTCAGAACCACGTAGCAGTGAATTGCCAAACCCCTCGAATGTCAGCTGAGAATTAGGTGTTTTAATACCTCTGTGGGTCTGGGACCTAATTTAGACTGTCAGTTATCAAGTCTGCATAATGACACTTTTCCTCTCTTCCCCACCTTTTCTGCCTCAACCTGTGAGACCTGCCAGGCAGAGGCACCTTTTCTTATTTGTTCCCATTTCTATTAAAATGGGACTGAGACTTTTGCAGAGCTCTTCATTTTCCAGGTTTCCTAATGCAGCATTTTCTTTCACGTAGAAATGATGACAGTTTGGTGTTGTTGCTCTCTGCTGCTTGAACAGCTGCTGTGTTTCACCCAGGAAACAGCTGCACTTGCGTTGTGGGTCAGCATATTTTTGTCTTGTTGTCTAATTTTAGGTGGTTGGGTCTCTTTCCTGAAAGCCTTTGTTTATGTAAGCTGCAAGCAGAGGTGCAGCAAGCCTGTAGGCCTCAGGGCAAACTGACACGCAGTGAGCACAGGCAGGGCACTATCAGATCTCCCCCCACTTGCAATGGAAAAGAGTGCCATGAGCCCAGCACTACCCACCAGGGCCAGAGGGTCCCTCCCCATATCAGTTCTGAGTGGATGGGACCAGTGTCTTTGTACTGATGCCAGAGATCTTCCTATGTGAATCCATATGGCTCTGGGAACACCTCAGCTGCCACGGAAAGGCCCCTCTGCTCGCAGCCTAGCTCTTACTTCCACCATTTCGGAAGGACTACAGCAAATAAAAGAAATCCAAATTTCCCTTCTTATATTCAGGAAAAAAAAAAACTAACTAAGAAAAACCAGCTCTTAGTCAGAGAGACAAAATGCATCTGCAGCCTCAACACACTTCCCCAGAGCCCCATTGATCTGGTCACTAATCAGGAGTTTCCCTTTCCAGCAAGAGCAGAAAGCATGATTTCCCATTGTAAATCCCTCAGCAAGCTCGCCGTCCCCACCTAGAAACACACAATCCCTCTGTAAATCACTGGCACCCAAACACTCAACAAACAGCTCTGCTCAGCAGCAAGAAGTCGCCTGAATGGCTTTGATGTTGATTGCAATTACAGCTGTGCTGGCTGCGTGCTGCATTCACTGTTTATATAGCCACTGTGCCACAGGGGGAGTGGGGCTGTGCTGGGACAGGCTGCTGTCACACCGTGGTGTGATTGGCAGTGGGGTCCCCGGGGAGCTGTGGCACCGTGCTGTGCCCACATCCTGCTGCCCAGCCCCACAGCACAGCTTGCATTGCTCCCTGCTGCGCACACGGCTGTCTGCAGTCATTCAGTGGGATGCTGAGCACCTTTGCTGGAAGAAAACACCTAACAAAGTGGGGCTGTTGATTATTTAAGTTGGCAGAGAAGCTGTAACAAAAAAGCAGGAGCCAGAAGTCGGAGCCAGGCGTGCTTTGCTTTGAAACAACGTGCTGCTGTGTTTATAGAAGGGCCATTTATTACAGAGCCAAGTGCCAAAAAGAGATCTGCGTCCCTTGGCCTCTTTGCAGCAAGATGGTCACTTCTGTGCAGCAAAGCTCCAATGCAGCAAACCTGGGTGAGCAGCTCCCTGCATGGGGGAACTGCAGTGACTCCAGGGTTTATTTTGGCACAGCGATCTTTGAGGACGTTTTATGAGGCAGTGCTCAGGGGTGAGCTGGTTAGCAAAGAGCTGAGCTGTTGTGGAAGAGTACTGAGAACATCTGCCTCTCATCTCAGCACTGGGAGATCCTGAGCTTCATAGTGCAGGGCATCACAGCACAGGGCAGTAAAGCCATCTCCTTTTTCCCACCCCTAGAGGCCCAGCTCAAGCTCTTGAATTTCTTCTCAGTCACGCCAAAAATAAACTGCCAGCTCAGAAGCCTTTGTCCCACCTTTTCCTCAACAAAGAGGATGCTTTCATGTTATGTGTACATTAAAAAGCACCTGTGACAGCTTCAAGAAGCAAATGTGTCACAAGCAATTACTCTCCTCAAGAAAGAACAAGATGGTCTCTACAAGGAAGTCTGAAAAAGACAAGCTGTTTGAGTTTAAGGCATGTGCAAACCAGCACCCAGAAATTGTATTGCAAAGCTGCTTTAGAAGAAGCCAGTGCCAAAGAGAAAGCCTGGCAAACAATTGGGATCAATGGGCAGCATCTCACATTGCAATTGTGTGCACTCCTCTTTCCCTAAAGAAGCATCTCTACTTCTTTAAGGAGAACCGTGTGCCCAAAAGATCTCATCCTCCCCTGGGGTGCTGTCGATTCAAAAAATGGTGTTGCATCTGCCTGTAATTCCCATTCACACTACCAGACCGACGTTCATTTAGCCTGCTCTTCAAAAGCTCCAAAGGCTATCCCATAATTCTCCCACACAATCACTTGCTGCGACTCACTACCCTTATGTCAAGACAGTTTCCTATTGCCCCCCTTTTTATGGCTGCAGTGTAAGTCCTTGTTTTCTGATCCTGTTCCCAATGGATGCAGAAATCAGATTAGTCTCTTCCTGTCTGTGTAATTAAAGATCTAATCACATCTCCTCTCCCCCTTCCCTTGTAAGGACCAGACAAGACATGTTTCACCAACCTGATGTCCAGTAAACCAGAACATCAAAGCATGGAAGAGTTCCGAAAAGCCAAGCTCATAACCAAACCCCAAACTGAAAGAGGCTGTTTTATTATGTACTCAGTGATTTACACTCTGTTTTGGTTCCTGTTTGGCTGGGATCGTTGTCATAAAGCCTCGGAGGAAAAAACAATTATGGCCCCAAGACAGTTGCATGAGAAAAATGACATCAGTCAGGAGCACACCAGAGCCAGGCAGTCCCTGTGGGGTGAGCTCTGAGCCCAGCAGCGATGACCCCCACACGCTGCAGATCCCATTCCAACATCAGGGCATTCACCTGAGCTCTCCCAGAATCTCTACAGCACAGGTACCTACCGTGATGTGCATCATCACCTCCACAGCTCCCAGCAAGAGACGGGACATCGCAGGCTGCGTCTCCTCTCCCTGTACAGCAGCAATCTAAAATAGATCAGATCAGTGGGGATTTAGAAGTGCCTGATCCTCTCTCTGATGAGAAAGGGAGCCTGGAGATTAGCTCTCTTGCAGGCAGGCTCACAAAAGAGGTACAAGAACAGGTGAGATGGACCGTGCGTGTTGGGAGGACAGAATCTGGCTGCAAGCAGGCACACAAGCACTGTGCTGTTTGCTGCATCTCCCCATGGGTCGTCAGCTCTTGCAAAGAGGACTCAGCCCTTACTGCTGTCCCTTTTTGTCCAAAACTTGGAGGAACTATCAGCTGTTGTGGGATGGATCACCATCACGGCTGGATTCTTTTGGGTTTCGTGGCTGTAATGTAGTTTCTTTCATGCCTCTTAACTAAGGGCAGCATTGCTATCACCAGCAATAATCATATTAAAATGTTACACAATTAGGAGGTGTGTTTCAGTAACGGCAGAAAGGTCACTTCTTCAAAGTTAAGCCAGTTGGTTTTGATTCAAGCATTGTGTGTATTTACATCCTGCAGTCTTCATTCCCTGTTATGGAACTGGGTAGTTCTTTCCCTTTTTATATGGCAACATTTTTAATTGGCACCTGTCTAATCATAGGATTCCAGGAGCTGAAGCTTAAAGAAAACATCAGAGAGTAGACAATGTGGAAGATGGTGAAGGAATGTCTTGCTGTAAACCCAAAAACATTCAGTTGAGAAAACAGTCCCATTAGCTCCTGGCAACCTTCAGAAACCTCATCTATCCACTCATTAAGGTCTCAAGGGTCTCAAAGCATTCCAAAACAACTCTTTTAAACTCTAGAAAAAAACAGGTCAAATGGCCTTTCTGTGCCAAGGCTGAGCAGGAGGCAAGAAGCTCACAAGGAGAGAGCAGTGCTACTGATTTGTATGGCCTTGTATTTTCTCCATGAGAGAGGAAGGAGGTTGACTAAAGAGCTTGGTTTTGTGCAGAGAGAAGGGCATTTATCCTGACTGAACAAACTGCAGTTCTGATTTACTCAGAAATGAATGTCCTTGTATTCAAGCACATAAATTTCCAGCAGTGTTGGTTACTACTTCTTATCCAGTGCTTTTCGGGACATTATGTATTTCAAAGTCATTCCTTCAGAAGATGAGGGAAACCCAAATCACACAGCAAGAGCACTGACATGCTGGTGAAAGTTACGGTCACAGGTTGGCACTGCTAACGCTTCTGTTGTTCCATTTCAGGTACTACAGCTGCCACAGCCTCCTCCATCCACAATGTCACAGGTACCTCCTGGGTTGGGATCCGATGTAAATGCCCATTGGGATGTGGGTGCACATGCCCACGTGGGGATGCAAATGGAGAGGCTGCTCCTTAGCACCTCTTGCTCCCGTCACCCCCTTTCATTCTTGTGGGCCATAAGAACCCCTTTCTGGCCCATCCTTCGAACCTTCCTGCAGGGATCCAGCACATCTCGATGTCACCTCCATGTGTCTGCTTGTGTTACAGATCAACCTCAATCAACGACACGCAACCATGAAGTAGAGAGCAATACCTCAGATAAAAAATCCCAACAGGGAAGGATTGTGGGTGTCTGCAATCCTCCAAAGAGGGAAAAAGATTGGCCTGTGTCCACACCTACCCGACATCACCGCTTTGCTGGGCAGCCCTTAACGCACAGAGAGCTTGGTGCCCAGTGTGTGTAAGCACAGTGCCTCACACAGCAGGTCTGTCCTTGGATGTTGGGTGTCATAAAGGAAGTACCAGCAGTTAAGCCATTGTTAGAGGAGTTTCCCTGCATTACATTAGTTCAGTATTGCTTTCTCGATAAGCGCAACCACTTTTTTTTTAGACTAGAAAATTCCAGTTCTGCACACAGCCTCAGCACCTCCCACACAGCAGGTCAATGTGTTTCCTGTTTCTCCCTGAGGAAGAGAATGTAACAGGGAAAGATCTCCGTCTGCTTAGAAAGAGATCCCCTTACAGGGAGACCCCTAACAAATAAGGGAAAAAGATCCCCGAAACGGTCTCAGATTCTGCTGCCATGCCTTGCAGGGAAAAAAAAGAAAAAGGAGAAGAAGAAGAAGAACAAGAAAAAAAGACACCCCATTTCAACATTTCAACATTTCAGCGAGGCATTTGGATAAAAGGAAAAAGCCTCAAACCATTTTCACTTTTTGCTCATTTTACTGGAAAGCCACAAACCCAGATGAGTAACAAGCCTATAGATTCCACCTTGGTGATCTGCTCTTTTTGGAGAGGACTATGACAGCATTCCCTTTCCCCCTGCTATCTTGCTCTGGATCTGCAGGGTTCATGCTCTGGCTCCTTTCAGTACGTGGTTGAGGAAGATGTCAGCCTCCAGGCTGCAAGAAGTAAATGATTTGTGCTTAGAGACTCAGCAAAATGAAACATGGAAGTTAGCATTTCACATCACGAGCAAATAAACACATGGGTGCCAGGCAGCTCAAGCCAATTAGCGTCCAGTGATAACATACATAAAGAAATTGTCTTTATTTTGAGATAAAGCCCTTCATTTTCAAAGCAGGGAAAAGAGGTGGTAGGAAAGCCAGACTGTCTGCATGCACCCCAAGCTCTGCCAGCTCAGCACCTCCTCACACAGCCAATCTTGCCAAAAGAAGTAAAGCATGGAAACCCTGACTCCTTCAGCAAGGCTAGCTGCTTCCCCACAGCCCCCAAAGAACATGAGGGTGTAGTGCAGAAGGAATGCCCCCCAGTGAGCAGTTTCTGAGCAGAGCTCTTTAAAGTAATGCTACTTATACCTTACAGAGGCTTCAGTGAAGTCAACAGCACCATCTGACCTGAATCTCACTCACGTGGACCAGACCACCACAACAAAATCCTCCTCAATCTCTCCAACCCTGCTAATATCATCTGCACAGGGTAAGTACACAAGGTGGGAAAACCCCAACTATTGCTCAGGTGGGACCTATCTATGCACCCTTTCTCATCCATGCAAACATGGGTGCATCATAAAGCCCTCACTGGACCACACCGTGCTACCAATGCTGCACACTTCTGAATACATTTCAGCTTTTGCTGAAAAAGCAGCTCATTCCAGCTCACCAAATACACATGGCTGGATGTGTGTGGCCTGGACGTGGCAGCTGGACATCTTGATTTTGGTTTGGAGTTCCCCTCCTGTTGTTTCATGCCTATAAGCAACAGTTCTCTGTAGCATAACTAGCAGCAGCTTCCAAAGTTAATTCTCTTTTGCCACGTTTTCTTTATCCAGATGAGAAGTCCAGTGGAAGCAGAAACACAACAGCTCCATCAACTCCAGGTACTTTATGTTTTCATAGGTGCAGGCAACTTCCCAGCAATTAGCTTGCTTTATTTATGTGGCACCTGTTATTTAAGCACTAATCTCTCTTGGTGTGGAGCCCTCGGTACCACCCAAAATCACCTCTGCTATCCTTACAGGTGGTGACAAAACACAAGAGAAATCTTCTTGCATCCCCTGTTTGGGATGAACTTCAACAGTCAGGAGACTGATTTACATTTAAGAACAGTGTGGCACTTTTAGCACCCTTTAAAAAAGCCTCCTTTTGCTTCTGATGGTTTGTTTAATCTGGCTTTTAAGCAAAAGTTAGAGAATTCAGGAAGAGTTTTCTCAGAGTAAGGGCAGAATCCAAATAAGTAGGAAGACTGAAATCTGAGATCTGATTGGATTCTCCATTAAAGACTCAGCCCTAGAAAAACTGCTTTGCCTCTCAGATCTTCCCTCACTCATGCAAGGTTAAAAACCCACGGTCAGCCGTGCCTGACAGATGTCCAAGCAGCGTGTCTGTGCCCAGCTAAGCCAGGAGCCCTTCACATCACAGCAGATTGCTATTAATCATAACCCTGCTTCAGCTGAAAAGCTCCATACATCTTCAGCTACAGAAACGCTGCTGATGCTTCCAAAAGACAGAGCTCCTGTTGGGTGAATCTCAGCATTTCCCAGGATTGAGGAACCCATGGCAGGCTCAGCACACAAAGCTTCTGTCCTCCACCTGTGGCTGAAAGAACCATTTCAGAATGAAACAAGAGGTTTGATGACTGCTAGAAAACAATGCAGCTGGTAGCTGTACAACTTGCTCCTGCTTCTCAGGAGCACTGTGCTCCATGTCATTGCTGACTTCAAACCAGTTCAATTTGGTACTTCACAGTATTTCTCCATTCTTCTGACTTTTGGCAAAAGAACATTCCAAACGCTGATGTTTCCCCAAGGGCAGGAGCCCCAGTTCCACACAGCTGCCCCCCTGTGCCCCACTGCCAGGAGCTGAGTTACACCTCTCCTGGCAGCACCTACTTTGGCCAACGCTGCTTTTGGGAGGTAGGGGATGGGAAAAGAAGACAAGATCCTGGAGCCCCTGCTTGAAAAAACCTCTGTGCTGCCACAGCTGGACTGTATATTGGGCAATTAGCCCAACTCAAACTAGCTTAGTTCTAGGTAAAATAGAGTGCAAGACATGCCCACTAATTTCATCTTCAAGTCAAACAAGCCAAGCAGCTGATCCATACCCATGTTCTGCAGAACTGCCTCCCCTAACCAGTCTGTTTGTGTGTTTATGAGCAACAGCAAATCTATAGCTTTCCCAGATCACTATTCCAGTGTTTAACTCCTACACCTGCCAAAAAAATGCATGAGTGATTGCAGAAACTGAATCTGAGCACTTAGATTGGACTATTTGAATTCCTTGTTTCTTTCTCTGAAGAAAAGTCTGGGGAAAACAGTAAAAAGGGCATTTGGATGGGCTGCCCAGGGAGATGGGGGAGTCACCATTCGCAGAGGTGTTTAGGAACTATGGAGATGTGACACTGAGGGCATGGTGAGCTTGGGCTGGGGTCAGACTGGATGATCTCAGTTGTCTTTTCCAGTCTTTATGATTCTCTGATCCTGTGGTGGGAAGGATTCAGCCTGAGAATGAATTTCCCATTTTCCTGCATCACCAGCCACACTGTGAATACATCCCGCTCTCCAGCACGTACATTCATTCTTTTGCTTAGTAGGTGACGTTCAAGGACAAGACTCATTTCTGCATTTCCTCTGCACAGGTGAAGAGTCCAAGAGAAGAGAGAGTCCTACAGCAGCAGCAACTCAAGGTGCTTCCTCCTTTCTCTCACAGAAACAGACATCAGTAGATGTTTCACAGCCCTTTTTACAGCCAATAGCACTGCTATTTTCAGGCATTACGGTGAAGAGATAACAAGAACCCAAGGGCTGCTGGCCATCCCATCTAGCCCTTCAAAGCTCTGCAGAAGCAGCTCTCTGGGGTTACATGTCATGCCTGAGTACAGTGGCTGTGAGTCACAGCAGGAAAAGGTGACAGTGTGGCAAAAGGCTGTCAGATGGGGAGGCAGGACAAGCTCCTCGCTCAAACGTGCCAGATCAGTCCTTTACCTGCCACGCTCAGCTTCCTCGTTGCTGTCCCAGCAGAAAAGCCTGTGGGTGGGGAATCACTTTCTCAGACTGTGGATAAGTAGAGCCACACCAATGCAATCTGACTCCCACTGAGGATGTTCACATTGGTTGGGGCTGCCCACGATCCTCAGTTATTCTCTTCAGTAAAGTGCAAGTGAGAGTTAGACCACACCGTACCACTAGGAATCTTCTTCCCAACCTTGCAAGAAAGGCTTTATATGACGGTATTTTCCCCCTCTTGTAGGCACCCCAAGAATAGTCACCCCAGCACTGGAAATCTCTGTCTCTTTGCCCGTGCCTACTCCAACAGAATACGAGTCTCCACTGACTGTGGTAGCTTTCGGTAAGGTCTTGTGCAACTGGGGGAAAGGAGGGAACCTGTTCTGTCAACTCATGCAGGTTAGAACACCCAGCCTTGAAGAAATTTCCCTTGGGACAGCTCTCATCAGTTTCATTCTCCATGCCCCAATCTTGGAGGTTTCAGAGAGCAAAGGAAAACTCTTGAGAAAAAGACTTGCTACCACCAAGTAACACAGCAGTGAATAAACACTCCTAGCCATACCCAGCCTGACAAGGAAGGAGTCTGAGAGTATACTGTGGCTGAGCCTGAGCTCAGGATCTTCTTCCCAGAGCAAGACCTGGGCAGAAATTACCCCATTCTGTGCCCTGGTTTCCCTGAAAAGGCATACAATAGATGTCGTACCTTCCTGTAAGCTTAGACAACTTAGTTTTAACCCTGAAAGCCTGTTCAGCTCTGTTCCAGCCCTACCAAACTCCTTCCCTTGAACATTTCCCCCCTGCTTAGCAGGAAGCAGCCAACTCCTCCACACCGTTCAGAGATTGTGCAAGGATGGAGCAAGAGATGCCATAACTTATCCAGACAGCAGCTTTAAGGATGGGCACAGGGTAGATTTAAGACACCCACTTTTCTTTGGGCTGTACTGTCCCACTTAGAGCTCTAGAGCCATCTTAACAAGGCGCAGCTTAATTGATAGTTGCCAGATGTCAGAATCAAACCTGTGCTTGGCCATTGGTCCATGAGATAGCTAACACTGCTCAAAGTCAATAACCCGTCCCTCTCCATTATATTACGTATTTACCTGACTGCACACACCTTTAGGATAAGATTTCCCAACTGCAGCAGGGACATGTTGACTCCAATTAATTGCCAATCAATTGACTCCTGCCTTCCTATCGCTGTCTTATCAACTAAGCACGCACCAGAAGCCCTTTGAAGCTAAAGCACAAGATCAGGTCATTCACTCCAGTAACTATTTACTTTTCTACCAATTACATCCCATGCTTGCTGTAATGAAAATACTGATATCCTACACAAATCACGGTGAGAGTCCAGACCCTGCACTGCCCCAGAAGGCAAGGACAGGAGAGTTATTAGATCAATAGCAGAAGGTTTCTTCATCCACCCGCAGGTGTCATCAGCTTCATAGTCATCCTGGTTGTGGTTGTGATCATCCTCGTCAGCGTGGTCAGCCTGAGGTTCAAGTGCAATCGCTCCAAGGATTCAGAAGGTATTTGTCTGCGGCTGCCTGTCCTTCCCTAATAGAAAACTCATTGTTTTCTAAGCTCATTTGGCAACTCCAAAACGATGGAGGCACACACATGCACACACATACAAAAACAGCAGCTTATTCAGTGGAGAGGTTTTGTATCATAGTTAGGAATGGAGTGTGACCACTTCTTTGGAGCCTCAGTCCAGACCCGTGTGCACAAGGAAACAGCCTTAAGTTTGCTGCATCTGACTGGCTAAGTGTGCAGATTTCCTGCAGAAATCACAGGTTGACACTGATTTTCCCTCAGAATCCTATTTCCCGTTGAGCACTGCCCACTAGAGGGCAAGACTGCTCTACAGCAAGGCGGGTAACTGCCAGAAGGCTGGAGGATGCCAGCAATTAAACAGGCAGCAAAGCATTCACTCCTGCCTGTATAAAGTTAAATTAGTTGAAGCGTTTTCTCTAATCAACTCTCAGTTATCCAGTGGTGTCTCTAATTTCATTTATAACCCTGTACAACTTGATTCCGAATACAGCTGACTTATTTTATGGCATAGCTGCGATGTTTTCTCACCTGCACATCACCAACTGCTTTTCTCCCTCCAGACAAACAGAAGCCAGGGAGCTCCATGGTGTCAGAGAGGTAAGGCTGCTTACATTATTCATATCCTGTTGAAAATTATATTTTATTGCACAACTAATTTTAGCACGGGAAAAAGGCAACTTTGGTTACATCAGATGGGAGAGGGAAAAACATTTCAGGGCTTTGAGATAGGTGAAAAACACAGTGAGTGCTGTTAAACCTCATCCTGTGTCCGATGGAATCAAAGGTAGAAGCTCAACATTTGGGGGCCTCATTTTGCAGCCGTGCTGATACTGATGAAAGTTCATCAGCTTCCAAAAAGGAGTTTGCTTGTCTTTTCTTGCCTAGATACAGACTTGAGATCTGACCTTGGGCTTCTGAAGCTCAAAGTAGTCTCAGCAAAAATAAACTAGCCCCCTCCCCCCCCAGTTATTTTCCAATACCACTATTGTTACCAACACAAGTAGGATAAAGAGGGGTCTCAGTTCAGAGCCCTTTGGAAGAAAAATGTCAAGCGGAGAATGATCTGTGTGTACCCCACAAAGCATCACTGCTACCCAAATAGAGAAGCTGCACACAGAAAGCATCATGAAGCAAGAGCTGGAAGGGACCTAAAAAGGGCAAAAGGTATCGCTGCATATTGTTCCTATTTCCCCGTCCTTTACCGTCTGAGTAACACTCCCTTTTTGGAAAGATGCAGGGGGCACAGGGAGCAGGGTTCTTCAATATTTACGTGAGAATTCGCATCAGCATCAGCAGTTCCTATATTTACCCCTTATGATAACGATCAATGTGACCCACAACCACTGGGATGAGGCATTAAGGCTCCCTAATCCCCAACACCATCCAGCCTCCATTGGCACTGAATGCCTATCCAGCCCTCAGGGCAAGGAGAAAGGCAAATCCCCCCTTCCTCTCACTCAGACGTTGGGGCCTGGCAATACATGAGCAGAAGTATCAAGGAGTGGAGGAATTTGGCACGAAGGGTGTGCCTGGACTGGGACAACAGAACTGACATCAGCCCTGGTCCTGGCATTCCAGCCGGCCTCAGCTCTGTTTGTTTACCTCCCTTCTTACTTTCCAGAGTAATTAATGCTTTCTCTCATTGACAGCTGCTCTGCAGGCACAAGCGAGAAGGATAACAGCATCACTCTGATCTCCATGAAGAACATCAATATGAACAACAGCATGACTTACCCACCATCAGAAAAGGTTTCCCTTTTAAGCCTTGCTTTTTAGAGAGTAAACTGGGGAATATTTCTCCTGCTGGATAAGGGTGTGCCTTTGAGATAATCCCAACCCTTGACTCCTTCAGAAATGTAGTAACAAGCAGCTGCCAGCAGACTCCCACAGGTCCAACCAGGTTCCACTGAGCCTGATGAAATTCTGGGTGCCCGTTTCAAGTTTATCCAAGCTGCTTGAACTCAAATATTTCATACTTATGGGTGCCAGCCAGAGCAACAGTCATTAAGTTTAGAGATTAAAATAATTACCTTTCTGAAGTCAATGTCCCCCCATCTAGTCCAAGCTTCCCATGTACTCCTGCTCTGCAGATCTGTTTGTGATGTTGGAGCACATTCCTATCGGTCCTCTCAGATCCATTCCACATGAGTAATTTATAGCATTGTTGGTTTTAAAACTAGCACTTAGACTTGGTTTGAGGGACCACATTGCTTAATTTCTTTCGCCAGCCATGTAGGATGCTGATGTACCACATTTTGTTCTCTTTGCAGGTGCTATGAAACCAACAATCGAGAACTAGAAGCTGACACTTGCATTTCTAGGCTTTTTTTTTTTTTTTTCCTTTGGGGAAAGGACAAGGGTGGACTTTATATGTAAATTATTATGCTCTTCCTGATTAATACACATACAGTAGTTTCCCCATCTGGGGGGGATTAGGGCTTTCTCCACTTACAGCCTGTCATACTCAATGGTTGATATCTATCTGCATTTTTGATAGGTCCTCAGGCCCTCAGATTATTCCAGCAGCAAGAAGTATGAAGGAACCAGCTACTCAGCTAAAAACCTGCTGTCTTAGATTAATGGCCTTCACGGCCTGTGCCAGACAGCCACAGCCTTGCCAGACAGTTCATCAGCGCAGACCCCCACCGAGCTAAACCTGTGCATTAGAAAAGCATGGTCTGAAGCTGAAGGCCTAATAGGACTTCAATAGCCAAGTGCTAGGTCAAATCATAGCACAGTTGCTCCAAGCCCCTTCTGCACAGTCAGGGTGACCATGCCCACCTACCTCACAGAGCCGTTGTGAGGAGATGTGAACCAGTGTCTCTAAAGCATTTGGAGAGCCGGGAATTAAAGGTGCTGCTGAAATGCAAGCTGCCATCTTAACGCTTCGTTATCAGCATCTGAGCTTCAGGCAGACTGTCCGTATCTTCCCACAAGTTCAACATACAGTGAAGAAGAGTTGTTTGAAGTACCAAAGAAACAACACTGCTTTGCCAGGACTTTGTCTGGGTGGTCATAAGCAAAATCCTGAGCTCCACCAACTCCTGAAGTTCAGCAGCCTGAGTTTGCTGGGAGAGCTTCAGTCTTCTGTACTGCTGCTTTCCCAGAGCTTCCCAAAAGACCAGAGAAGCAGACACCCATGGTTCCAAGCACCCACACTACTGCAGCTACGAGCACCACAGATGCATCCCCACTGTGATAATGAGCACAGTGCTCTGCTAACCTGTGCAGTGCCACAGCTCACCCCAGGAGCTGGCTGGCTCACAGCCCACGCTCCTCGGGCCCAGCTGCCAATCACTGCCTACCCACTGCAAAATACAGCCCTATCAGCTGAGCTACAGGCGTGATGGAATCAATGCTCAGCTTCCACGTGACTGTAATGGAAACAAGGCTCTATTGGGAAGTTCTGGAGATCTCAGCTGCATAATGCACTAAAGCACTAACTCTCCAACTGCTTTTGCCTCTGCCCGTCTTCGTGAGACTCCTGGCTTCAAGCTCTACCAGTTCCTGAGTCAGAGTCCTTGGAGCACCTCATTTACTCGGCAGCAGTTTGCTGAGAAACTGATTTCTCCTACCACAAGCATCAAAATCTATCAGCCCTGAAGGTAAATTGTGAAATCAAGGAAAAAGGATTCATCCAAGCAGGCAAAATAGGTATCACTGAACACATTCCCCTGTACAGTCCAATGAAACATATAATTTAGCTTGATCTAATTTTATAGGATGGATACGAGACGGTTACTGGAGCACACAGTGCTAAAGGTAGCTGTGCTTTGCAGCACACAATGAAGTGCTCAGCATAATAAATGCAATGTTTTCACAACTCTTGTTAAGATCACTGCCAATGGACTTTCTGTGTTTACCATATACATCAGGTATTTTTACAAGTGGTTTGTTTTGTTTTGTTTTTAATGAAGTTTTTTTCTGTTAAAATTCTCAGCACAGTAAAACCCTACCTCCACCAGAGAGGTGAGTTTGTGTAAACGCTAGTTCCCAGGTGATGCCCAGCTTGGTGCACTCAAGAAGCTGCACATCTCAGCCCTGTGACCCAGTGCATGGAGGCTCACAAGCAGGTTGAACACAGCGTCGAGCTGTCTTGTGCACACCTGCAACATCAAACACGGCAGTGAGTGCCCAGTTCCTCCCCCCACTTCCCAACAAGCCATATTGACCTATATAGGGCCATCCCATGGGATCTCATCCCTGCTTTAGTTTTCCTTCCCCTGAAATCATCATCTTTCTTCCCTCAGCCTCTCTAGAGTCTTGACAAAAACAAACAAACAAACAAACTGAGCCTGCTCTAGTCTGCAACTGAACCACATCCAAAAGCAAAACAAAGCTATGGCACTGTTCAAAAGAAAGAACTGAATTAAAACAGTGGAAACAATGTGAACCCGGCATCCAGGTGCAGCTGGGAGCACACAGCAGGGATCTCCCCTGGGTGCTGTGCGTTGCCCATGCTGGGCTCACTCCTGCAAGCTGCAGTAGTGGAAGGCACCAACTCATTACTGTCAGCAGCCACGGCACCCAAAGGTCCTGTCTCACAGCTCATCAGCCCAGTTTAGTTGGCATGTGGGAGGACAAGTAATCAACGTAGACTTGAGCAAACCTTTTGACTCTGCCTCCCACAGCCTTCTCTCGCAGAAGCTGCAGCCCATGGCTTGGACAGGTGTACTTTTCCCTGGGTAAACACCTGGCTGGATGGCTGGGCCCAGAGAGTGGCAGTGGATGGAGTTACACCCAGGTGGCAGCTAGTCACGGGTTGTGTTCCCTGGGGGTCAATACTGGAGCCCGTCCTGTTTAATATCTTTACTGATCATCTAGATGGAGGCATTGAGTGCACCCTCAGAAAGTTTGCAGATGACAAGATGCTGTGGGGAAGCGTTGATCTGCCTGGGAGTAGAAAGGCACTACAGAGTGACCTGGACAGGCTGGAGAGCTGGGCTGAGGCCAAAGGGATGAGCTTCAACAAGGCCAAGTGCTGCGTCCTGCACTTTGGCCACAACAGTCCCATGCAGTTCTACAGGCTTGGGGCAAAGTGGCTGGAAGCTGCTTGGGGAAAAAGGATCTGGGTGTGTTGGTGGACATGGGGCTGAACACGAGCCAGCAGTGTGCTCGGGTGGCCAAGAGGGCCAATGGCAACACGACTTATGTCAGAAATAGTGCAGCCAGCAGGAGCAGGGCGTGATCATCCCTCTGCGCTCAGCTCTGGTGAGGCTGCACCTCAGTGCTGCGTTCAGGTTTGAGTTCCTCACTGCAAGAAAGACATTGAGGACCTGGAACGTGTCCAGAGAAGAGCATGGAGCTGTGAGGGATCTGGAGCACAAGTCTTATGGGAGCAGCTGAGGGAACGGGGGCAGTTCAGTGTGGAAGAGGCGCAGGGCAGGCTGTTATTGCTCTGTACAACTCCTGACAGGAAGCAGTGGGAGAGAGGTTGAGTTCAGCCTCTGCTCCCAGGAAACAGCGGGACACGAGAGGAGCTTCAAGCTGCACCAGGTTGGGTCAGGTTGGTTCAGGTTGGGTCGGGTTGGGTCCTAGGAAACGTTTCTTCTTAGAAGCAGTGGCGACGCGGCGCCTCAAGCAGCGCAGGGAGCCTTGCAGTCACGGTCCCTGGAGCAGGGGAAGCCCTAGGAGGTCACCGAGCCCCATTTGACGTCATCGGCGCCCCTACCGCCGCGCTGCCCGCTGGGAGTTGTAGTCCCGGGCCGCCCGGCGCCGCCGTTCCCAGCGTTCCCCGGAAGCCGCCTCCGCGCACAAGATGGCGGCGCGGGCGGGCCGGGGCGGCGGGCGGTGAGCGGTTGGAGGGTCGGGCTGCCCCGGGCCCGCCATGACCTACACGGCGGAGCAGCTGGACGGCGTGCGGCGGTGAGACTGGGCTGGGGGGGTTGGAGCCGCGGACCGAGCCGGCGGGGGCGGCGGGGCGGAGAGGTGCCGGGCCTGGGGCCGAGGGGATGCCGAGCTGAGGGGATGCGCTGTGCCCGGCGGTGACGGCGCTCCCGTGTGCGCTTCCAGGATAAAGAGCTGCCGGAACTACTACGAGATCCTTGGCGTGGAGCGGGATGCCACCGAGGAGGAGCTGAAGAAGGCCTACCGCCGGCTGGCCCTCAAGTTCCACCCCGATAAGAACCGCGCTCCCGGAGCCACGGAGGCTTTCAAAGGTGGGGCTGCGACCGGAGCGCTGTGTTGGGCTGCTGAGGGTGATCGTGGAGGGCTTTCCCAGCCCCAGCCGTTCTGTGCTGCCGTTTAAACTCCTGCATCCTCTGCAGCCTTGCTGTGTTGCAGCTGTGTGCGAAGTGTTGTGAGTCGGCCCTAAAAAGGCAAAGGTTTCACTCGCTGCCTGTCAAAATGAGGGGTTTTGGAAGGATGTGTCCTTATTTGTTGTGTTGGGGTTGTGTTTCTGTATGAACTGTTCACAGCTGCTTTCTGACAAAGAGGAAGGAAGAAGATGAAGCAGACAGGCTGCTCCTTCCAGGTGGTTTGACGTGCACTGTGAATAGATGCACAGGTACTGCTTCGTAAAGATCTGTGCTGGCAGAAAAGCTTGGAATGTGGGTCTGCGTGCCAATTGCTCTCTGCAGTTATAAACTTTGCGCATGGAGGTGCACTTCTATGTCAGTATTTAGTTAAAAAGCTGCATTCTTCCTCAGCCTTTTGATAGATGAAGACTCTTGCCTTTAAGTTTTCCAAATACTTCACCTCTCCCCATATACTTCAACATTTGTGTCTTTCTCCTGGTAGGAGAGAGGTTTCATAGCAGGTAATCGTGGTGTTCTAATGCTTCTTATGCAAAGGCAGTTCTTTCAAAAGTGAATCAGTCTTTGGCCAAGAACACGTTTTCTGTGACTTGAGCATTTTGCTCATCTGCTTACATCCAGAGGTACTACACTGTAACACTTCTTTTACTTCATCCTCCAGCAATAGGCAATGCTTTTGCAGTTCTGAGCAACCCTGAGAAACGATTGCGATACGACGAATATGGAAGTGACCACGAGCATGTCAGCACTGGCGAAGCCAGGCACTATAATTACTACACAGAATTTGAAGCAGACATTACACCAGAAGAAATATTCAACGTGTTTTTTGGTGGGCACTTTCCGACAGGTTGGTATCTGTCTACGCTGTTCTTCAAGCATTGTGAACTGACGCTAGGCCATAAAGCACTTTGATTGATCTAGTAGTTAAATTATACTTGGAAAAGAGCAAAAAACGTTTTTGAATTTTTTTTTTTTTTCCTTCCTGTCTTATTCTGCCTGTAAACGCTCCTTAAAAGCACAGTTTAAGGTTTTGGTAGCTCCAGTCCCTAAATAGCTCAAAGCCCAGCTTTGCTGTCTAGGAGGGCCGTTGCTGCTGTGACACATTCCTAACCTCCCAGCCTCTTGAGGATTGCTGGCAGCACAAATTAGGAGTAAGAATGTTTTAATTTGGCAAGGATTTAGGTTGGCTCTTGTGTGAGCAAAATTTCATTACCGTCTGTAGCTGAAGACCCTTCTCTTTGTTATTCTTTTATTTTCTCTCCACTGCCTGATGTCAGCTATGATTTGGGAAGCAAAATAAGATGTGAATGCAAGGGGCATGAGGCATCTTTGCTGTTGGTTTTGTCCTTGAGATGTGTTCCTGCATTGTGTTTATAGTAGAAATGGGAAGCCATAGCAGATCAGTGGAATAGAGGCTGAGAATAAGAGTAGATCTGGAAGGTGTGGTGAGCCTAGATGTCTTCTTGCCACTGTCAGCATTCATTGACAAATTGCTGTAGTGCTCTTGTCGTTTTTCACTTCAAAGGCAAGCTAGAAAATAACATGCCAATGACTATAGTCTAAAGCAGGGGGTATGAGTAATGACTTACAAGTTCCTCCTTGCTGTGCTGTGTGGCAGCATCTTGCAGCTAAGGGAATCTCAAACTGCCTTTGGTATTGAATCAGTAACTGTGCAAGGTGTGTCACACTCAGTGTGGAGTAACTCCCCCAGCTGTGTGAGCACCTGCATATGACTTTGCTTTGGCCACTGATGAGACATTCACCACTATGGAACGTGGCTGTTGTATGGCTGTGTGCAGTGGGGTTGCTTGGACTTGAGAATAGAAAACTCAGGAGCTGCAGTAGGGATTTGGATGCTGGTATGACCATACATAATAGGTAAGGTGACCTGAACAAGTACAGAGGAATCTTTATCCGAGTGGCAAAGAATAAGAAAATAAATATTATTTCATAGCTGTCAGTAATAAACAAAAGGTTCCTTGCCAAAAACATGGCTGGGCCTAAATACATGCATGTTTTCATAAATGACATTTTGTAATCAAAATCTCACTTTTCAATTCAGCCGTTTTCCAAATAGGCAAAGTTTCTACTTCCCTGGAATAGCTAACATAAAGAGAATGGCTTTCACACCATTGTAATGTTAAGTAGGATTTTCCTGTGTGTGCTGAAGTTTGTGCTGCAGTTCTGCAGTTCTGTGCTGGTTTTGTTTTCCTGTGGTACCTTGCTACCACCAGAAATGTGAATAAGAAGTGTTGGTGTTAGATAAAACTCATTCATACAGCTTCTGGGTAGATCTATGGCTCATCTATCTATGGCACAACTTGCAAGTCTAAAGGAGGGCTCTACCTGGGGCATAGTGTTGTTGTAATGGCTCTGGGCTAGAAGTTGCACTTCCTTCTCACAAAAGACAAACATGCATGGAAGGAAGAAAACTGGCAGAAATTCTGTGAGCAACTTTGGATTTGGAAATGTTTTTTCTGAACACCCTGCAAAAACCACTCAACTTCTCTTCTTTCACAGCTTGATCAAATACTGTCCAAGTAGCATCAAATGATAGGACCTTTATTTT